GCCGAGGAGAGTCGCCCGCTGACCACATTCATCACGCCGTGGGGCAGGTACAGGTATCGACGTACGCCCATGGGCCACGTGTCAGCTTCAGACGCGTACACCAGAAGATTTGATGACGCCATCGTGGACATCGAGAGGAAGTTCAAGTGCGTAGATGACGTGCTTCTCTTCGACAGCACCATCAAAGAAGCGTTCTGGCACTGCTGGGACTTCTTGACAAAATGTGCTGAAGCCGGGATCACACTCTCCCCGGAGAAGTTCAAGTTTTGCAGGAGAGAAGTGGAATTCGTCGGCTTCCAACTGAGCTGGAGCAGCTAGCGGCCTACGGGAGACAAGGTGTCCGCAATCGCCGATTTTCCTATGCCGCAAAACCCGACAATCACTGACATCCGCTCCTTCTACGGACTAGTGAACCAGTTGGCACCATTTGTCGCCACAAGCCCCTTGATGGAACCATTTCGTGAGCTCCTCAAACATACACAGTCGAAAAAGGTGTATTGGGACGAGCATCTGCAGCAGAGATTCGAAGAGGTGAGGAAAACCCTTTGTAAAATGGTGGCGAAGGGTCTTCAGTATTACGATAAGGAACGGCCGACCGTATTACTGACAGACTGGAGCAAGAATGGCATGGGATTTGTCATCATGCAGCAGTATTGCACGTGCTCTGGGCCGGACACGCCGTTCTGCTGCAAGGACGGCTGGAAGTTAGCGCTCTGCGGCAGTCGACACGCCACGTCAGCCGAACAAAACTACGCTGCAGTGGAAGGCGAGGCCACTGCGGTGGTTTGGGCGCTGAAAAAGGCCAGACTATTCCTCCTTGGCTGCCCTAAGCTGGAGATCATAACGGACCACAAGCCCCTAGTGAAACTCCTGACTGATCGGGCTCTGAAAGATATCTCCAATCCCAGGCTGTTCAGACTGAAGGAAAAGACGCTGCCGTACCGGTTCAGTATCCGGTACCGACCGGGTGGCTCCAACCAGGCTGCAGACACGTTGTCGCGTTATCCAGTGGGGAGGCCTGGGCCGACTGAGGCTGACCTCGAGCTGGACGACGAGATGAATGCGGCAGCGATAACTGCGACCGCCGGTTGCAGCGACACCATCATGATCAGCGATGAGACAGTCCGCCGTGCCGGTGCAGAGGATGACATGTACCGGCGACTGCAGCAGCGTGTGCAGACGGGTGACTGGCCAGCCAGCAGCACTCAGGAGACCGGTGAGATGAAGAACTTCTTCAAAGTCCGCGAACGGCTCAGTCTAGTGGATGGTCTGGTCTGCTACACATTTGAAGGCGGCCCTCTCCGGCTCGTCATTCCGGCATCACTGCGACAGAGGGTGGCCAGGAGTCTGCACGCCGCACACCAGGGCGTGGACGGCATGGTGCGGCGTGCCCGCGACTCGGTCTACTGGCCTGGTTTTGAAGCCGACATCGAGCGCAGTCGCACCCAGTGTGTTGACTGTGACGAGCATGCGCCGTCACAGCCCAGAGAGCCGCCTATCATGACGCCACCGCCGGACTACCCATTTCAACAAGTAGTAGCCGACCTTTTTGAGATCGGAGGAAATAAGTACATCGTTTACGCTGACAGGCTGACGGGCTGGCTCAGGCTAGATGTTCTCAGGTCGGCCAGTTCAGGTCGCCTCATTTCACTGCTGAGACGATATTTCAGCGAGTGTGGAGTGCCGGAAGAAATTTCCGTCGACGGAGGGACCAACCTGGTCAGCGCCGAGATGCGTGCGTTCCTGGACCGCTGGGGCGTGGCCATTCGCCAATCGTCAGCCGGCTACCCGCAGTCAAACGGCCGGGCCGAGGCGGCGGTAAAGTCGGCCAAGGCGATCCTGCGCACCAGCACGTCAGCCAGTGGCATAGATTCGGATAAAGCGATCGAGGCGCTGATCCAGTACCACAACACGCCACTCCGAGACGGCGGCAAGTCGCCGGCTCAGCTGCTCATGGGCCGGCAACTAAGAGGTGGTGTCCCGGTGGTAAAGAAGCATCTGGTAGTGAACGATCACTGGACGGATCATCTGCAGAAAAGGGAGGCAGAGATGACTCAAAAGATGCTGGAAAGAGCAGCCCCGACGTCTGCGAGGAACAGGGACCTGCCAGATGACTCAAAAGATGCTGGAAAGAGCAGCCCCGACGTCTGCGAGGAACAGGGACCTGCCACGCATTCATCCTGGGCAGACGGTGCTCGTACAGAATGAGAGGACCAAGCGTTGGGACCGTAGTGGCTTAGTCGTACAGGCCCGGTGCGACATTCGCCAATACACTATCAAACTGGATGGCTCAGGACGCTTAGTGCTGCGGAACCGAAGGTTCCTCCGACCACTGCTCACCGGCCACGCGCTCCGAAGTGCACATGACTCACCACAGCCCATAATGCCGCGAAGGTCCGAGCGACTCCAGCAGAAGCACATGCTGATGTCTTGAGGATGGAAAGCTCGGAGTTCGGAGGGGAGATGGAGGATGTCGAGTCAATACTACATACTATCACTCGTCCTCTGCGGAGTACCATGTTATAGCGTGGCGCATTCTTATGGTCTCGTGATTATGATTTTACGTTTATTAAAAACGAACGGATATTAGAAAGAAAAAGAGAAATACAGTCTTGCTTTGGAGGCTCACGACTTTGCACAGCCATTAGGACCCGACAGATGGTGCGATATAAGTTCTCAGAAAATAAAGGTTAGGCGGTGTGTTCATCATATTTGACTGCCAGACGGCATTTTCTCACCTCCCTCTTTGACCTCTAGCCTTTAACGGTGAGCTGTGTCCGCCGTGCGGCCGTCCCACCGGTCCCACCTAAAACGGTGAGATATGCACACTTTCATCTCACCTATAAAGGTGGGATGTGTCCGCCCTCTCACCCATAACGGTGGGTGAGACCACTACCTTACCTGTAGCAGTGAGACGGCGCCTGTTCACTCACCTATAACGGTGGGCTGTGTTCACGGACGTATAAATAAACTGGACTGACAATCCCAATGGACCTCCTATGGAAGATACTGAAGCCGACACGGCGCCATTTTACGTTGCCAAAAAACCGTGCCGTGAAAGGTAATCGAGCCAATACAATTGGAATTGTGTCTAAACGGATGATCGGATCGAGATGCTGGTGGTACCATTCGACGGGTAATGCCTTGAGGCAGGTGATGATGCATGTCACAGGTCACCCGGTGTCACATGGCGCGTGCCACGTGCCGACAAACTTACAAAGGGCAAAAACCTTTAAGCGACGCTTCAAATCAAACGAAGGGCGGCACAGGTGCCAAACTCACAGGCCAGATGTCCCAGTGTTTGACCACTAACATATGGTATGCTCGGCATCAGGGGGTGCGGAATGCACGCGTTAGTGGCGAAAAACATGTTTTGAGGAGGCATTCTCCGATTCCGGAAAACCTTGACCTAGGCACACCAAATTTGGCACACTGACACTACTGGACACGCGCTTTAAGGTGCTGTACAAATAGGCGTGCTGGGGTACACAGTGCACGTGCTGTGCACGTGCAAACCTTTTGATGTTGCACTCTGTGTCACATATGCGGGTAGGGCGGGTAGCGCTGGCAAGCTCAAAGTGCCAAATTTACACAGGCTCCCCAGAATGCATTCCAGCATAGTTATTGAGCATATCCATCTCCTGGTGGCCCCCAAAGGTGCGCTCTGCACGTGCAAAAAAAAAATTATCCGCGCCGGGCGGTGGGGATGCTAGGACACCCTATGTGGATTTATGTAAATATCGCGAAAACGGCGTTGTGTAGCGCCGCCGTTTTTGGCACACCTTTTCATACACCTTTTTCACACATGCTGCGTAACTTTCAGACTTAGGTCACTCAAGGTTAGGTCATCAGGTTACGTCCAAGTGACCTTACCTTAGGAAAAGTTAGGTATAGTGCCCGTCGTAGCTACACGGACTGAACAATCGGTTTAAAACGTGCAGCGATTGATAAGAGCAACAGTATATACGTAGAGTACCTCTACCTCGGAATTTCAATATCACTTGCTTGCTCAATGCTCAGCTCGTATTGTAAGAGCACTGCGGCACAGCATAGATGCAGGCGCTTTGCTACTGCCATCTGTGGGTGAAAGATGAAGATAATGGTTATTGCGGTACAGTATTACTGCAGGCGCAAACAACGTAGATAACAAAGATACCTATGCTATGCTGCGCTGGCCGGCGATTGAGGCGTAAATTTGCGTTGCTGGGTAGCAAAAAGTTAAGGAGCCCGAATTTGACAAAATAAATGATTTGCCGTGCTGGTGGTCTGAGGTCGCAAAATCAACAGAACCCTAGGTCAGTGATATTGAAATTTCGAGGTAGAGGTAGGTACTCTACGTATATACTGTTGATCTTATCAATTGCTGCACGTTTTAAACAGATTGTATAGTCTGTGTAGCTATGACAGGCATTATAATTTTTCCTAAGGTAAGGCCACTTAGACGTAACCTGGTGACCTAACCTTGAGCGACCTAAGTCTGAAAGTTATGCATCATTTGTGAAAAAGATGTATGAAAAGGTGTGCCAAAAACAGCGGCGCTACGCAACGCCGTTTTCGAGATATTTATGTACATAAATCCACATAGGGTGTCCAAGCATCCCACCGCCCGGCGCGGATAATTTTTTGCACGTGCAGAGCGCACCTTTGGGGGCCACCAGGAGGTGGATATGCTCAATAACTATGCTGGAATGCATTCTGGGGAGCCTGTGTAAATTTGGCACTTTGAGCTTGCCAGCGCTACCCGCCCTACCCGCATATGTGACACAGAGTGCAACATCAAAAGGTTTGCACGTGCACAGCACGTGCACTGTGTACCCCAGCACGCCTATTTGTACAGCACCTTAAAGCGCGTGTCCAGTAGTGTCAGTGTGCCAAATTTGGTGTGCCTAGGTCAAGGTTTTCCGGAATCGGAGGATGCCTCCTCAAAACATGTTTTTTCAAAAAAATGTTTTTCGCCACTAGCGCGTGCATTCCGCACCCCCTGATGCCGAGCATACCATATGTTAGTGCTCAAACACTGGGACATCTGGCCTGTGAGTTTGGCACCTGTGCCGCCATTCGTTTGATTTGAAGCGTCGCTTAAAGGTTTTTGCCCTTTGTAAGTTTGTCGGCACGTGGCACGCGCCATGTGACACCGGGTGCCATGTGACATCCATCATCACCTGCCTCAAGGCATTACCCGTCGAACGGTACCACCAGCATCTCGATCCGATCATCCGTTTAGACGCAATTCTAATTGTATTGGCTCGATGACCTTCCAGAGTACGGTTTTTTGGCAACGTAAAATGGCGCCTTGTCGGCTTCACCTGAATGGAGGTGGTTGCGGGTCCAGTTTATTTATACGTCCGTGGCTGTGTCCGGTTCTCTCACCTATAACGGTGAACTGTGTCCTGTTCTCTCAACTATAACGGTGAGCTGTATCCGGTTCTCTCACCTATAACGGTGGGGTGTGTCCGGCTCTCACCTATAACGGTGAGGTGGGTGCGCTGGTTGCTGGTCGGACTGCGCTGGAAGTCCACCCGACACCGGTACGTGCCCTCATCCTCGGCCATGACCGATTCGAACCGCAGAGGTAATTGGTCGGTACTGGCTGACCGGTCGGCAGCTGACCGATCGGATCCGCCACTGCGACCGTCCCAGCTGAAACGGTCCGCCAGCTCTGTCACAGCCGGGCTTAGGGACGACAGGAGCTTAACCTAGAAACGACAGGAGCCAGACTTGGGGATGTTCAGCAGCATTTATTGTTGCTGTGAACGTAAAAAACTCATACAATAAAGTGCATAAGTATTTGTGGATCTCAGTAGTTTGGCATTCTTTCCGGAAAGCAATGGTCTGTGAAATGCTCAAATTTAAGGTACGACTGCTTATAGGTACGTATTTATACGTGCTATTATTCGTTGGGATGGCATACCGGAGAACATATTGAAGCTTAGATGCATTTGGCAATACTTGTGATAGCCTGTGAATTAAGCTGATAAGCGAAATAACCATGTTTCATGCATTCGCATTATCCAAATGATTGACTTTCTCCTTCTTTGGCAGAGTCCATTTGAGACACGTATCTAACCACAAGGAAATAGCCCTATTGGAGAACATAACCGATATTTATCTCATTTATTCGGCACCGTGTGGGGAAGCTCTCCGGACTATTTAATTTGGGAAAGTTTAGGGGTCGGACATAGCATGTGGGTAGCACGTGTTGTCCGACGCTCACGAATCGACCAAGTTTGACCTTTGAGAAGTCACCTGGGCTGGGAAGAGAAACACCAAGGCATTGCTCTTTCGGCTCGAACCCAGTCTGGGTTCGGCTTTGAGAATGTATTAGGAGGAGGCTTTTCGGACACTGAAGAGATTGTCATTAACACAATTTAATGGATCGTTGGAACTTGTTTATGTAGACCATCTATCTGCATTCTGCATTGTTAACTTTTTACTTTGTTCCGAGCTGTGTGGGTCAAATTAGTCCGACTTGAGTCTCATATTATACTAGGATCGAACGTTGCAATATCCGTTTTTTGTGGTGAGTGTAATTTCATATCTTCTTTATCACCGTAACTTCTAACCTTCATTTTAACAGTGTGGACGGCCACCTTTGCATGACGTGCAGCAACGGAAGACTGCAATCTTATTTTGACATCACGCAGATCCGAATGATCTACATTTGACACATACCTGAACGTGGGTGTTGTTTCGTTGTTTTTGTACCAGATGATCAGCTTGGCGAGGTCGTCGTCCAAGCCTGAACTGGTGTTACAGGGCAGGTCCACCCGGCGGCCCACCACGCCCTGGACACGCGTTACGTGACCTGGAACACGAACATAGTCGGGGTGAGGGCTCCGGCGCTCTCCTGCGGTTAACTTGGAAAGCTAACGGACTATTCGCCGACCTTGGTTAATCATAAGATCTATAGATATGTAATGATATGCTTTTTCGCTTGAAGCATATCAGCTTCAGTCTTCAACCAGTCTGCCTCGCCTAGCATTCGTCTGAAAAAATAATCCCATACATTTTACTGTCGTAAAAAGCATATGGATAAACCCCAACTGATGGTCGTCACTCGTCAGCCAGCATGATAATCCTGCTCAGTGCCCACCCGGGATCTGCTTCAGCCCACGACCGAACTGAACTTCCATTGGACATAACGATCTGTGTCCTGAACCCTGATGGTCGCATATTCATCGCTTTTTCGAGTTTTTGTGTTTTTCTCTAGCAGTTGTTGTGTTATGTCTGAATTCAATGATTGGGAATTAGATGCACTCAACATTGTTTTAACAATATGCACGAGAAAATAGGAACGAAAGCGACAAACCAAATTGTTACTGTGATTTAGACGTGACATTGCTATTGGAATAAATGTAAATGTACTGATACAAATCAAATTACGAGTGTTCGAGAGAAAACGTACCGTGCCGCACAGCGACGGCAGCGCGCGGCGGGCACGGCCGAGCCCCGCCGTCCACGTGGTCCTCTGCAGGGCCTGGGGGGTCATCTGGAGCACATATGTGTGCTGACCGGCCCCAACGCGCCGGGCCGGCCGCCGCCGGCCGGCTCGGCAGTTCGCGGCGAAACGACGACGACGGCGCGGCTCCGCCGGCGCAACGGCGCCGGCGTCGTACGATTCGATTGAGGTGCAGTGTGTGACGAGTAATCCAGAAATAGACATTCATCTAAGAACTCTTTTGGTCCTCCGGTTAATGAAACGATTCGATCACATACGCAATTATTAGTGAACTCGACGATTACACGAACACTTTGGTCTGCCGTGCTGGATCAGAGTGAACGACCACGATTCACACGAACATTTTGGTCCTCCGGGCCGGATGTATGTGAACTAGTGAGTGAATGGACGTACAGTCCGACACGAGTGCAGTGAACGAGTGATGTCGGAAGCGAAGTCCGACGCAGTGATGTCGGAAGCGAAGTCCGACGCGAAATCGACCGCAAAGGCGGTCGCACGGTGTGACGCTAAATCTACGCGCAGCTCGCGGGCATGTCATACCCGCAGCGAGAGCTTCGGCAGCGCAGCGTCGTCCACCATCAGCGCAGCCCGCCGCCGAGCCGCGCTAAGCAAGCTCGCAGCGGAGCAAGGCCAGCGCGCGGCCGCGGCAAAGGTGGAGCTGGCACGGCAGGAGGCGGAGACGCAGGCGGAGCGGGCGCGTCGCGAGGCGGAGACGCAGGCGGAACTGGCACGACAGCGGGCAGCTCTCGAAGCTCAACAGCTCGCCGACGAAGCTGAACGCCGTCAGCTGGAGCTGGAGCTGCTCGAGGAGGAGGAGTATGACCACCAGTCATCTGCCGTCGACCGACAGGCTCTATCTCGGCCTGCTGCCGCAGCTCCAAGTGAGCCAGCCGCCCTGCTGCGTGAGCCGCTGCAGCCGGGTGACAGGTCCTCACGCACCCGGGACTGGGTGGAGCAGTCCTCCCAGTACGGACAACTGGTGAGCGCGCGGCCATACGACGACCGTCACCAGCAGGAAACACGACGCCCGCTACAGCCCGTGAGACAGCAAACGGCTCCACAGCTGCCTCGAGTGACCCTGGATAAGTTCAGCGGCTCCGCTCTGGAATGGCCGAGATGGATCGCGCTGTTCAGGGCTCTAGTGCACGATCGAGAGGACCTGACTGATGTCGAGCGCCTGACCTATCTCCAGGCTCATCTCACCGGGCCGGCCAAGGAATCAGTGCGCGGTATGTTGTGCGACTCTTCTCTGTACGGTGAGGCTCTGCGTGAGCTAGAGGAGGAGTTCGGTGACCCGGCGCGGGTCATTCACGCGACGATGAAAAAACTACTCGATTCGCGGCCGGTGAAAGATGGTGATATGTCGGCTGTGACAGAGCTGTCACGTGACCTTCGCACCGCGGTCCGTGTCCTACAGTGCCTTCACTACGACGCAGACATCTCGGCTGCCACCAATGTAACAGCTGTGATCTCGAAGCTTCCCGCTGCGCTGGCGCTGAAGTGGGGCGAGCACGCTGTACACAGCGGACTCGTCCGCCCCACTCTGGCCGACCTGGACAGCTGGCTGCGCCGCTACGTGGCCGCGGGGCGTGCGTCCCTGACCCTGACGGGCCACAAGCCATCCAAGGCCGAGGTCAACAGTGGGGAGGGCCGGCCACGGCGTGTTTACGCGACAGCGTCAGCGCCGGCCGCGCTCCGGGAGGTCGTAAAACCGAAGATGACAGCAATAAAGGCGGCGGTGCCGGCCGGGAGTGAGGACACATGTGTAGTCTGTCATGGGGCTCATGACATCAAGAGCTGCGACAAATTCCTACAGCTGACGGCGAGCGAGAGAGCTGAAGTGGCCGGTCGAAACGGGCTCTGCTTCAACTGTCTCGTGCGAGGCCACATCAGCGCCGCGTGCACGTCTAGTACAAAATGTGGACACGAGAACTGTGGGAAACGTCACCACACGCTTCTGCACAACGGAGAGCGTGTGTTTCCACGGCGCAGTGCTGCCAGCGGCGCGCCGTCAGCAGTGAAACATGTGGGCACCGCGGCGGCCGAGCCGCCCTGTAAGGTTTTGCTGCAGACACTGCCGATAACAGTGTATGGCCCTAACGGGAGCTGCACATCCCATGCCCTCCTCGACCTTGGAAGCCAGATCACACTGGTGACTGAAGGCTTGAGTGACCGGCTCGGTATCTCTGGACCTATCAACAGCCTGGTCTTAAGTACCATAAACGGGAGCGAAAGACTCAATTCACGCCGTGTGTCCTTCGAGATCGAGCCCGTCAGCAGCAGCGGTACCCGTCATGAAATACGGAACGCCCAAACGACGCCGACGTTAAATGTATCGAACCACGCCATAGACTGGTCACGAGAGAAATGCAAGTGGTCTCATCTCGCCGACCTGGATCTACCAAGCACGACACGAGGTCAAGTAGAAGTGCTACTTGGTACTGACATGATAGAACTGATCGTGCCACGTGACGTAATTGAAGGGCCGGCCGGGACTCCGTGTGCCGTGAGGACGCTGCTCGGGTGGACAGTCACCGGCCGAGCACCGAGTCGAAACCTGTCAGACGACCGAGTTGTGAATCATGTCCGTGTCGGCGACGAAAACAGTGCGCTCGTCGAACTTCAGAACCAAGTGAGGCAGTTTTGGACGACGGAGGCTTTCGGTACGAAATACGAGAGCGCACAACTGCCCTCCAAGGCAGAGCAGAGAGCCATGTCCATTCTGGAGAGCGTCACGAGACGGACCGGAAACCGATACGAAACTGGTCTCCTGTGGCGCGCCGACAATGTGCAACTCCCGGACAACCGACAAACCGCTCTCACTCGTCTAAGAGCGGTCGAGAGACGTCTGGCTCGCGACCCTGACCTCTGTCGGTCGTATCAAGCCACAATGAACGACTACATCGCCCAAGGTCACGCCAGTAAGGTCAGCGGAGAGCACCGCACGCACGAGCGGACGTGGTACCTGCCCCACCACGCCGTTCAGAACTCAAACAAGCCAGGAAAGGTGCGCGTCGTGTTCGATGCAGCGGCGAGATGTGGTGGCACGTCACTGAATGACAACCTCATCACCGGGCCGAACAATCTGAACTCACTCGCCGGCGTGCTCATGAGGTTCCGACAGGGCAGCGTGCCGATCGCGTCTGATGTGAAACAGATGTTTCACCAGATAACCATCCGTGCTGAGGACCGACACGCACAACAGTTCCTCTGGCGAGACATGGACATGACGAGGGAGCCAGAAACGTATCAAATGAACGTGGTCATATTCGGTGCTAAGTCATCACCAAGCACGGCCACCTACGTGCTACGACGGTGCGCAGAAGACGGCAGAGACAAACACCCTCGGGCGGCCGACAAGGTCGTCAGTCGCTTCTACATGGACGACTACCTGGACTCCGTCGACACCGAGAGCGAGGGACGGGAGTTGGTCAACTCGCTGAACTCTCTGCTGAGCGCCGGCGGCTTCCACCTGACAAAATGGACGAGCACGTCAGACGTGGTGCTGAAGGACGTGCCGCCTGAGGACAAGTGTGAGGAGTCGCGCGACCTCGACCTGACCGGGGAGAACAAATGGATGAAGACGCTGGGCGTTCACTGGTGCGCTCAGGATGACCAATTCAGGTTCAAGGTCAAGAAGGTCGACAGTGGGAACACCAAGCGTTCCATCCTGAGCATCACATCAGCAGTGTTCGACCCGCTGGGCATGTTGGCTCCGTTCATTGTCCGCGCCAAATGTCTCATCCAAAAGATCTGGCTCGGCGGATGGGACTGGGACGAGGCCATCAGCGACAGTGAACTCCTCGCTCAGTGGCACAGCTGGCAGCAGGAGCTGAACGACATGGACTGCGTGCGAGTGGGCCGCTGTTATCGCCCCGATGACAGAGCGGTCGTAAACTGTCAGCTGCACGTGTTCGGTGACGCCTCTGAGCTTGCGTTCGGCGTGGTGGCTTATCTGCGGTTCGAGTTCGAGGATGGCACCGGCTACTGCAGCTTCGTGATGTCCAAGGTGCGGGTCGCACCCATCAAACAGCTCAGCATACCTCGGCTGGAGCTACAGGCCGCTGTCATGGCCGTCCGCGTGGCTGACACCATCAAGGCAGAGCACGATATGGCCATCAACGAGACCATCTTCTGGAGCGACTCGTCCACCGTACTCCAGTGGATCAACAGCGAGAGCAGGCGGTTTAACACCTTCGTCGCAAACCGCATCGCCGAGATCCAGGATGCATCAGACGTGACTCAATGGCGACACGTGCCAGGGCCACTGAACCCAGCGGACATATGCAGCCGAGGCTGCTCGGTGACGGAGCTGGCGCCCGGCGGCGTGTGGGTTCAAGGTCCGGCCTTCCTGCGGCGCCGTCGCCAGGACTGGCCCGCCGCGCCGCCCCGCACGACGGAGCGCCCGAGAGACGAGGAAACGGCCGAAATGAGGGTAATAGCCTGCGCCACTGGGGGAGCTGAGCCGGCCATAAACCCCAGCCGGTTCTCATCATTGGTCAGGCTGCTGCGTGTGACAGCGTGGGTGCGCAGGTTCGCTCACAACAGCCGCAGCCGAGCAGCTGCTGATCGGCGGACGGGACCGCTGACTGCGGAGGAGCTGAGGGAGGCTGAGCGCGTCTGGCTGCTCAGCGCACAGGCCGAGCAGTTCGCCGATGAAATCGCAGCTCTCCAGCACGGAAGGCGACTCCCATCGAACAGCCGACTGCATCAGCTGACCCCCTTCCTGGACTCGACCGGCCTACTAAGAGTGGGGGGCCGGCTCCGACACGCCCAGATGGACTTCGAGGTCAAGCACCAGGTGATTCTACCCGCACGCGGAGACGTCACTCGGCTGATCATCACCGACCGACACAAGAAGCTCGCCCATTCCGGTGCTGAACACGTGCTGACTCACCTGCGGCAGCAGTTCTGGGTCATCTGTGGCAGAGCTGCAGTGAAGCGGTACACACGTGCCTGCATGCTGTGCCGGAAACGGTCAGCCCGGCCAGCGCCGCCGCTGATGGGTGACCTACCAGCCTTCCGAGTGGGCGAGCCGGCCCCGGTCTTCGCTCGTGTAGGAGTGGATTTCTTCGGCCCCCTGACGGTGAAGAAACATCGCAAACGAGAAAAGAGATATGGCTGCCTGTTCACCTGCCTGTCTACCCGAGCAGTCCATATCGAACTGGCGCACTCACTGGACACCGACTCGTTCATCATGGCCATGCGACGAATGATGGCGAGACGGGGCAACGTCAGCCTCGTGTGCTCGGACAATGGCACAAACTTCCGTGCTGGTGAGCGGGAAATGCGGCAGGCACTGCAACAGTGGAACCAGACAAAGATAGCGGACACGCTGTCTCAAGAAGGGGTTGAGTGGCGGTTCAACCCACCAGGAGCACCGCACTTCGGTGGCGTGTTTGAGCGACTGGTCAGGTCAGCCAAACGCGCACTGACGACTGTGCTGGGAGACCGAGCCGTGGACGATGAGACGCTTCGAACGGTCGTCACCGAGGTGGAAGGGCTCCTGAACGGCCGTCCGCTGACCTACATCAGCACCGACCCCGACGACTACCAGCCGCTCACCCCCAATCACTTCCTGATCGGTCGCGCGTCTCCCCAGCTGCCGCCCGGTGTGTTCGTCGACGGTGACCTGTGCGGCCGACGGCGCTGGAAGCACACCCAGGTGTTAATCGACCACATCTGGCGGCGCTGGCGACGGGAATACCTCCCGACGCTCACCACGCGGGTGAAATGGCGCGCAGCCACGGCTGACGTGCAGCTCGGGGAACTAGTGCTGGTGACAGACGACAATCTGCCCCGCGGACACTGGCCTGTGGGGCGAGTGGTGAACGTGTTCCCTGGCGCCGACGGCCGAGTGCGGGTGGTTGAAGTGGCCACTGCCACTGGACGCTATAGGCGGCCGGTCTCTCGACTCTGCCGTCTCGAGTGCGATGGTGACGGACAGCAAATGGACTCAGAGGGATAATGTGTGAGCGAGTGGGGCGACTAGTGAGCCTTTTACGACCACCGTGTGCCGCTGCCGAGCAGCGTCGGAGTCTGAACACTTGTGAGTGTTAACTGCGTCCGTCATTCGTGTTAGGTTGACGTGTGCGTGTGTGAGAATGAGCCGCTCATTCTGTGCGCTGTCGCTTGTGTCAATTGTCATTTGTTTGGTGATTAGCCATTAGCTAACAGCTGTGAGCCGTTCGACAGTGCTACGCGTTCACACTGTCATAGTGCCCCTCCCGGGTCATTCGGCCGGTCGGTCTGTGCGATTAGCAGTTTAGGGCCTTAGAGTGTAGCAGCCTTAGATTGGGACCGACTCGCGGCGCAACCGAAGTAGTTTACAGCCTTAGCTTTAGCGTTCGTTTATTGCTGTACGATACGGACGGAGATGCTGCCTGCGAGCAGCTGTTTGTTGTTTCGTTTGTTTTCTCTCTTACGTTTAGAATTTCCGCGAGCGACGCGAAAATTCGGGCCGGCCATGTTCGAGAGAAAACGTACCGTGCCGCACAGCGACGGCAGCGCGCGGCGGGCACGGCCGAGCCCCGCCGTCCACGTGGTCCTCTGCAGGGCCTGGGGGGTCATCTGGAGCACATATGTGTGCTGACCGGCCCCAACGCGCCGGGCCGGCCGCCGCCGGCCGGCTCGGCAGTTCGCGGCGAAACGACGACGACGGCGCGGCTCCGCCGGCGCAACGGCGCCGGCGTCGTACGATTCGATTGAGGTGCAGTGTGTGACGAGTAATCCAGAAATAGACATTCATCTAAGAACTCTTTTGGTCCTCCGGTTAATGAAACGATTCGATCACATACGCAATTATTAGTGAACTCGACGATTACACGAACACTTTGGTCTGCCGTGCTGGATCAGAGTGAACGACCACGATTCACACGAACAACGAGATTGTTTTACCACGATTTGTGCGAGCATCGTCGCATGACTGACGCTGCCACTAATCGACGGTATAATTTCGGCAGCCGATTAATCACCTGATTCCTGGAACACCGGATGTGCAGGTAACTCCGGCGTCAACTGCGTGGCGGTCTGCTGAGCCAAAACCGGCCCGGCCTTACCTGGTAGGGACAATCACAGAAATAGGCATCCTGTAGTGGAAGCCATAATGCGCTTACCTCATGCTGATTAAGGTATGGATTGGTGCCCGGCGCTCCCAGCGTGGGTGCGCTCCAGAATGCAGTGGTTGTGCGATAAATGAGTGAAAAACCGGCCGATATTGCAAAAGTTTGCCGCAACTTTTAGTCACGTGAATACTAATGCTCAGCGGGGAAAATATAATACAGAAAACAAGTAAGTCATGCAGAGTTCCAGAAGTCTTATAGACCAAAGTCGATAAAAAGCATGTTATAATGCGAACACACTGCTCTCTTAGTGACCAAATAATGTCCTCTCGAACCATGAATGTAAGCACCATGTGTTGGGGAGCGACGCACGGCCGCCCGGCCGGCCGGCGCGGCGGCTGGTGGCGGGCGCCGGCCGCCAAACCTGCAGCTCTGCCTGGGGTGATGACGTCGGTGGCGTGGGGGCCGCTGATTGGTCGGCGGGCGCCCAGCCCCCCTATATAATGCGGCGCATCGCCGGCTGGCTGACCTATCCGTGCTTCTATCCTCAGGAATCAGAAATCCTTCTCCTCCACGCCGCAACCCCCCTCCGGGCTGGACAGGCAACTTTATCTCATGCGGGCTGCTCCCTTGGAGCGGCACCGCTGCTCCCGAGGGAGCTGCACCCCGTAGCCGGGTGCAGAGAGTGCTTGGGGGGCTGGTCGGTCTGTCCATTTGGACGGGCTCAGCCCCGGCGACTCTCTAGGGTGCCTGCCCAGACCAATGTCTCCCCCTAATTCCTATCATCCTTCCGGCTCTGCAATGGTCTTGTCGACCGAAAGGGCCTAACCCAACAAAACAAACAAACAAACAAACCGGCTGGCTCGGCGAGAGGAGCTCGGGCTGAGCGGGTAGCTCAGCACGGGGAGTTCGGGCGGGACGGACGACAGAGGCTGGAAGGCACGGGGAATCAGCACAGGGTTGTTAACTGGATTAACGTGTACCGTACGATCATTGTAAATATACTAATCAGCTGAACCGAGGTGTTTGCCGGTGGATGCGCGTCCGAACAACTGGCGCGGTCGGTAGGACTGTTCGGACACAAGCGGACGCGCATTCGTTGGCTTACACCATTTCTTAAGTAAATTTAAATCTAGTTTTTTTTAATTGACCTCAGTGTAGCATCGTAAGATGGAGAGAGAATTTCTACTCTTGACCAACTTTGAAAATTTCACGGGGGAGAACAAACAGGCATGGGGTCGATGGTACCGACGATTCCGGGCAAAGACGGTCGCCTTCTCGGAAGAAAAAAGGCTGCAGAGCCTACTCAGCCTTCTGCAAGGCAGCGCTCTGGATTACTTCGCCTCGCTGTCGGACGACATCCAAGGCAACCTGCAACAAACGGTAGCCGCACTGGAAGCCCGTTTCGGCACGGCAAAAAATGCGATGCAAGCGCACGCCGAACTGACAAATATCCGGCAGCAGCCCGGCGAGGCGACACGTGACTTCGCCGACCGGGTGCGCCAGGTAGGCCGGGAGGCATACCCAGGGGCGAGAGCCGGTGACCTGTCCGTGGAAGCGAACATCGTCAGCCGCTTCATATGCGGCCTCCGAGAGGAACAGCTACGGGTGCGGGTGCTGACAAAAGACCCGGCCAGCCTCATCGAAGCCGTGGAGGTCGCCGACAAATTCCAGAAGCAGCAAGACGCACTCCGGGCCATGCGCCCGCCCAACGAGGGCGAGGCGTTGGCGGTCCGAGACCGGGACGCGCCCGGTACTACTCGTCTGGACGCCTTGGAGAGGGGCATGGGGGAGCTGCAGCGCGCCCTGCAGCGTCTCGACACGACGGAAAGGCGGGACGACCACCGCACGGGGTACGACACGGGGGCGAGGAACCCCTAGCGATGGTCATCGAACCCAAACAGGCAGGGCCCGGGGCGCCGCTGTTTCCATTGCAATAGCCCGGACCACCTAATCCGCGACTGTCCGGCGCGGCAGGCGCAGGCAAACGGTTACCAGCAGGCGGCCATGGAGTGGGCGGAACGCCCCCGTGGTCCGCCTGAGGAGGCCGGCGGGTGGGCACCGTTCTGCCCCGGGTGCAGCCATGGGGGACAGCGATGGGCGGGATGCCCGCCTGCCCCCGCAACTGCAGCCGTAGGTACGACCGATATCCCGTCGATGGAGGGTCCAACAGCACACATGGGGCACTGGCAGCGGGGAGGCACGACTCAGGCAGCGGGGTGCGGTCGTGAGGGGCGGTGGAGGGTGGGTTACCCACCTGCCCCCTACGGCACACCCACCGCGGGGCAGCCCGCACGTCAGGGACAGGGGTGCCCTCCCACACCCGCGGTCATGCAAAGAGACACTCACGTAGCTGCGGTGGGTCAGCCACAGGGAAACGAGTAAGTACCGGTGCGATGGGACGAGTGCCGGTACGGAATCCATCAGAGTCCCACAGCGCGTGGTTGACGGCATCAGCCGTAAAGGTGCGGGTTGCGGGTCACCGGGCTTGGGCTCTGGTGGATACCGGGGCCGACTTCTCCATGATGAGGGGGGATTTCTGGGACATGATCGGGGAAAATCTGCACCTCCAACCCTCACCGAGCACGCGGCCCGCGAGGGGGGCCGGAGGTAACGAGCTACAGATGCTAGGAGTGGTGCACAATCTGGGGCTCGAGATACAGCAGAAGACATTCGTCTGTCCGGAGGTGGAGATAGTTGGGGGCCTGCTGTACGACATTGTGCTCGGAAGAGACTTCTGCTGCCGCGAAAAGACGGTCATCGACGACGGGAACGGGGTAATCAGGCTCGGGAGCCTGACGCTCCCCCTACCGAGCCACGCGGAGGTGAGGCTGCAGGGGCCCGGGCGCTGCGAGCGTTCGGGGGCCGCGAACACCGGTCTGGCAAGGCGCTGCGCACAGGCCTGCGAGCGGGCAGTGGCCCTAGTGATGGGCACTGCTCGCGCCGTCTTCCAGTCGGCAGGGTTCAACCGACAACGACACAGTCCAACCCAAGCGACCCCATGTGGGGTCCCCGTCGAGCCCCACGGCTCCGGGACGAGCCGTTGCGGGGGCGGGCAGCCCAGCAGCGGCTACTTCGAGGACGCAGTGACCACGAATGGACCAGAGACGGAGAGCGTGAGCCGCTGCGAGGGCGGGTCGCCCAGCAGCGGCAACGCACGTCAAACAGACAGGGAGACCGTCCTGGCCAGCAGTGAGGTCAACCTGGCCAGCGAAGCACTTCTGGTGGCGGACAGACACGCACAGGCCAGCAGCCGTCCAGGAGTCGACGGCGACGCAGGCGACGCCAGCTCGGTGGAGCGGAGCGACATGCGAAGGGCGCAAGACGAGAGCCCACCACTCAACCACGCCCGACGGTGTTTCAGCGATCAGACGCCCCACGACAGCTCGATGCTGGGAGAGTGGGGCAAGGTCTTAGGACCAGGAGCCCACCATGTCCGGGTGGTGAACGACCTCGTCGGCATGACCACGGCGAGTGGGTTCAGGGCGGCGGTGCCGCCTTCCCTGCGCACCCATGTGATGCAGCTGGCACACGAGCCACCGACGGGCGGGCACATGGGACACCGCCGCACCACGCTAAGGGTGAAGCAAAACTTCGTGTGGCCCGGAATGTATAAGGACATCAAGGAGCACTGCAGGACGTGTACCCTCTGCCAGAGGCGGAACAAGATGGCACCGTCGCCAAGAACCCCGACACAGACGGAACTGGTCACACGTCCCCTCGAGCGCGTACCTGGTGGCAGAGTGAGACCACCGATCGCTAAATGGTATGCGCAGCATCGCCCAGATCGCGGCGCGGGACCCGAACCGCCCCCTGCCGCCCTCGGTCCGCCTGCGCCGTACCGAACGACGTTCGGGCGTCTCAACCGCCCCCGGTACAGTATCAGGCGGGGTCCGTGAACCGCGTG